GCGAGCGTTCTACCACTTGAGCTACAGCGCCACTTCTGGTTTTCTGGTGGTTTATTGGAGATAGGAGTCTCATGGTCTCTCCTGCCTGGGCTGGCTTTGAACTGCGATCCTCAGATCTCAGCCTCCTCAGTAGCTGGGATTACAGGCGTGAGCCACCAGCGCCCGGCGCCCATCTTCTCCGATAGTTATAAGACAGATTTACAGAAACATAAGCATACAGATAGTGGCAACATGCTATAATGCAACAGGCACCCTAATGAGGCTCTCCTCACTCCTAACTGTGAGAAGCAGGACATGGCAGAATTGACATAAGAGTTAAAAAAGGCTGCTCAACTTTATCTGCATATCTATCACCTGGAAAGTAAGAGTAGTTCAAATATGTTAGGAAAAAATGACAAAAATAAAAATGCTGCTGGGCGCCAGTGGCTCACGCCTGTAATCCTAGCTACTCAGGATGTTGAGATCTGAGGATCGAGGTTCAAAGCCAGCCAGGGCTGGAAAGTCCGTGAAACTCTATAACCAGAAAACCGGAAGTGGTGCTGTAGCTCAAGTGGTAGAACGCTCACCTTGAGCTGAAGAGCTGAGGGACAGCACTCAGGCCCAGAGTTCAAGCCCCATGACAGACCAAAAAATAAAATAAATAATAAAAATGCCAACACCACTAAGTTGTAAATATTAAACAAAACAGAACGTTCTTCTCTTAATTTCTTGCACTAAACCTGCAGACAGATGCACATTTCCTAACCTGCCTCTGTCCTGAGCTCTAATACACATACCAGTCAGTTTTCTGAAGGCACAAGAAACCTCTTAAGAGGCTTAGCAAAGCCAAAGGACAAACAGGAGCAGTAAAAAGGGGACAGAGTGGCTCTGATCAAAGAAGGCTGGGCTCCTGCTATAATTACACTGTACATATCTCTGCTAGTGAATGTTCCACAGTGATAACATTACAAGAAAGAAAATCCCTACTCCCAGTTGTAAATGAAATTTCACACTTATAAAGAACCTGAAGCCAGGTGCCAGTGCCTCATGAAAATAATTCTCAGGAGGCTGAAATCTGAGACAGATAGAGGTTCAAAGCCAGCCCAGGTAGGAAAATCCATGAGACTCTTATCTATAATTAACCACCAAAAAGCTGAAAGTGGAGCTGTGGTTCAATTGGTAGAGCACAAACCATGATTTAAAAAAAAGCTAAAGCCCAGGCCCCAGGTCAAGACCCAGTACCCCCTCCCCTCCCCACCCCCTGAATTTGGATCAGCCTTGCACCACCACCCTAAGGCAGACTCATAGGCCTGCTCTCTAGCACCTCTTCACTTTCCTTTCTCCTAATCTGGTGGTGCTTAAAAGCAGCAAGGGACAAAGGAAACCACTGCTGAGGATGCCTAAGTTTCCCCCAATTGATCAGTCATTACCTAACAGCACGAGAAGGAACTAGTAGTACCTGTGAGCCGCTAATATGAGAAACCTTCACAAAAGCTGCTCAGCCCTGTTATTTGTATTTCTTCCACCAGGGATGGGATGTTACCTGTCTGAGATCACATTGCTGCAGGAGCGGACGATAAGGATCCCTGACCCGGTGGCCAGCACAGCCTGCACTGAAGAAACCACCCTAACGTGGACAGAGAAAGGAAAGAGGGCGCTCAGTCCAGGACTGCGGACAGCACAAAGCCGATTTGAACCTGACTCCATCGAACCCAGGAAAGTGAGTAGGGAGGCTGCCCCGCCCCGACCCCGGAGCAGCTGGCACAAGTAGGGTGCAGGCTCGGGTAGATGCACACGCCCTTTCCTCCCCATCCTGCCTCTCCAGCACCCTCCCCCGCCGCCCCCCCGTCCCTCGTTCCTCCACGCCAAGGGTCTCTGGGAAGCTCTGGCCAGCACCGCCGAGAGGGGCTGGGAGACCAGGGAGGCGGCCCCCTCGCTTCCTGTCGCCCCCCTTTTCCGCCCTCAGCCCAGCGCAGGCCTGGGCCCCGGGCGGCCGCCCGGGCGGCGGGACGGAGACAGCTGCGCCTGGCCCCGAGCGGGAGCGCGGCCCCGCGCGGTACCTGGTACCGATCATCACGCAGTCGGAGAAGGTCCATTCGGGCCGCGAGCGGCGTAGCGCCCAGGTGCTGAGCGCGAAGAGCCCCGGGAAGAAGAGCGAGCCCGAGGCCAGCGTCAGCAGCATGGGTGCTCCCGGTCCGGCCGCCTCGCTCGGCGCCGCTCGGCGTGGCTCAGGTCGGCTCCGCACCGCGCGGCGACGGGCGACGGGCGCGGCCCGCCCGTCCCTATTTCTAACCTCCGCCCCGCCCCGGCCCGGCTCGGCCCCAGCGACTCGGCACCGCGGGGCCCTGGCTGCCCGCCCGCGGCTCCCCCGCGTGACCAGGCGCGCCCGTCTTGATAGGCGCGGGCCCGCCGGCCGGGGCGGAGTCTCGCCGCGGCCGCCCCTGACTCCGAGGGCTCCCGGGGGTTCCTCCGCCGGTTGTGCCCGGGTTGGTGGGCGCTGCTCGTAGGTCGCGGCCGAGGCCGGAGGGCCGGGGCTCCCCAGACTTCTGTTCCGTCACCGCGGACCCCTCCCCTCTGCCACACCCTGGGCGAAGGGGGCTGCTAGCTGGGGTCAGGGCTGCTCCGCCCGGACCCTTCAGCTAAGGTGGGGCGGACCCTCGGTGCCCAGCACTGCTCGTGCTCGCGGCCCGCGCGCGCCTTCTCGCCATGAACCAGAGAAGAAGTGGACAGGTGGGCTTGTGCTGGCTGCCCGTCTGGCCCCATCTGCCTAACGTATTGCTTCCAGATGGGAGACCTCAGGAATGGTCTTCCTGCCTGTCCAAGATGCCCCCTCCACACCCACCAACTCCTGCAGTCTCTCCAGAAAGCACAAACTTCTGTCCAGATTCCAGCAGTTCTCCCTCCATACTGTGTGCTCCTTCTTGCCTCTTAGCTTTGGGTCTAGAAAGTACTCAGTGTGTCTCGCCTTGTTGTTGACAAGTTCTCTGGCCAGACTCCCTAAACTTGAATGAACTGGAAACTACTTCATTTCCACTTAGCATCAATCACACGGGCCAGTACAGTAATTTCAGTCGGACTGGTTTCTCTCTCAGCTTCTATCTTCCTAGCCTAACTAATGTAGATGCAAAATACAACTCATAGCAGGGTGCCTGTGGATCATGCCTGTAATCCTAGCTACTCAGGAGGCTGAGGTCTGAGGATCGCAGGTCAAAGCCAGCCTAAGCAAGTAAGTCCATGAGACTGTTATCTCCAATGAATCATAAGAAAACAGCAAGTGGCACAGTGGCTCAAAGTGGTAGAGCCCTAGCCTTGAGCTGAAGAGCTGAGGGACAGCGCCCAAACCCAGAGTTCAAGTCCCACAACCGACAAAAATAATTACATAAAAAAACAACTCATGTATACCTACTACCATCAAAAGGTACTACTGGTCTCTTCAAATCACCAGCATGCAAAAAGCTGACTCAAGTCCTACTCAAAGGCTTTGTCTGGAGTAGCTGGACTCAGCCATCTTGGGCCAATATTTCCTCATTTGTGAATTGAGGAGGAGGCTGGATAACAAACTCTTCAAGGCTCTTCCAGTTCTAAATTTTGTCCATTCTCCAACCTCTATAAAATTTAACACCAGTAAAAAGCAAGTAACATGGCAGCTACTGGTATAAAAGCTATATGGAGTGAACACAACTTTTGTTTCAATTTGTATTTAATTATTTAGTTGAGAATGTTTCTAAGTTCAAAAGATAATTTTCCTTTATTATTGTTATTATTATTAATTAGGCTGTGATCTTTTGGGGTGAAGGCAGCTTTTAACATCTTCCTACATGTTAACATAGGGACTTAGCCAATATTAAGGTAGCAAAAAGCCAAAATAGTCTGAAGTTTCATCTATTTAGGACAACATTTCTAACTCCCCAATTCCCAGATAATATGCTTGATGACATGAGAAATTCATGTCCATTTGGACTGGATAGAAGGCTTTCTGCGTTTTTATATTCTACACATGGACAAATGATAGCTATCTGTAGACTTGCCATTCTTTCCAAAAAGCAAATCTTCCTGCATTTGACTCCCTATTCCCTCCGTATGGATCCTAGTCACTTCCATTGGGCTTTTCCAAAGAGTGACAAATGGTTACTAGTCACTTCCAAAGCATAGAGATCAGCAGCATGCAACAAATATGCTAATAATTTCAAGTGGTGGGAAACCAACCAGTCCTCCACACCTGAGAGCTGTTTGTACAGTTCTTAAGGAGTCTTTTATGAAATGAAAATGAAAGATGTTTCATGTATAGAAACAGCAAGTATGATCAGTTTTCAACATGATAATCAATGAAGTCACCAGAATGTTTAAGTTGACTCACCATAGAGCTAACAAGTATAAACCTGAATCTTGGCTTTTCAAGTAATCAAACCCCTGTCGGCAAATGATAAAGTCAAAGCACTAAACTCTAAGGAGGCAGAGTAGTACCATACATTAGAAAAATTTCTACATATCCCTCAAAAGTTTTCCCCCCAATGCTGGATATCTAACCCAGGGATTGCATATAATAGGTATCCACTTCACCACTGAGCTATTACCCTCAACCTCCAATCCCCAACCCCTTTAAAATCTGGAGTCAAGTATTTCCTCCTCTAAGAAGGTTTCTATATCTCATCTAGGTGGATTTATAAATTTATTTTCTAAACTGCCTTTGCATTTGAGTAGTAAGCATGGTGGGTTTTTTTGTTTTTTGTTTTTTGGTTTTTTTTGTCGGTCGTGGGGCTTGAACTCCGGGCCTGGGCGTTTTTGGTGCTGGTCCTGAGGCTTGAATTCAGAGCCTGGACGCTGTTGCTCCATTCCTGGCTTTCTTTTTTTTTTTTTTTGGTAGTTAATTGAGATAAAAGTTTGAGACTTTTCTGCCTGGGATGGCTTTGAACCATAATCCTTAGATCTCAGCCTCCTGAGTAGCTAGGATTACAGGCATGAGCCACCAGTGCCCGGCAGCATGGTGGGTTTTATTCATATGTTTCCCCACTAAACTTTATTTGTTGTTTTTTTGTTCCCTAAGTCAGTCTTGCTATGTAGCCCAGGCTAAACTGGAACTTCTGCCTCAGTCTCCTAGGTGCTAGAATTAAACAGGTGTGTACCACCATACCTGATGAGTTGAGTCTTTTGAAACAAAAGTATTTATTTGCATTTGTATCCCAATTAGATTGGACAACATTCCAAAGTTCAGTAAATATTTTGGAATGTACTGTTTCTTCAGAACCTACTATATACTAGGCACTATATCAAACAAACTTGTTAACCTCCGTGTGGTGTGTGTGTGTGTGTGTGTGAGAGAGAGAGAGAGAGAGAGAATGAGAACCAGACGAGAAAAAATGAAAAATTGCCCCAAGTCAAATTGTTGGTGGCAGAGCTGGAATTTGAACTCAGTAGTACTTTAGTGTGCTTAATGATTATATTGTCCTCACACTTGATAAGCTGAGAGACCCCTTCAGGATGTAGTTTCGTATTAATTAACCACTGCTCCTAGTTGTTTCCTTGCAAGTATAAATGTGTGGTTGGAGTGTGTATGCTCTGATGCTGCTATTAACACCATTGCACATTTATTTATAACTATATTGTTTCAAAGCATGTCACTGAACTTAATTTTCAAAATAATGGAGAGGTAGACTGAATTTCAGTTTGCAGATGAAGAACCCTAAGTGCAGAAGGAGAGCCACTTGTCATCGATGACAAGGCTCAAGGTAGAACTGTGATTTCTTAAGTCATGTTGCAGGGAGATTTCACTACTGCTACAATATTGGAATGTAAGGAGTTTAAATAGCTGCTCCTGTGTGGTTCAAGAGTGAAACTTGGGTAACTAGATGCCAAGTTAAGACCTACATACCATGAACATGGAATTTATAAAATGCTCATGTTGGCAGGGATGAGAGATTCTTCTGCTATTTGGTCCCCTCTCTCCCATTATTCTAGGCCCCACTTAGGAGACAAGATACAGGAACTCTCCCTATGACTTCTTCCTGCTTTCCCCACTTACATACCATATTTACCCATGAAATATTTGAGAATTCTCAAATGCTTTCTATAAGATACATAGGCTTCCAATATAGGAAAATAAATAAAAATGATTGAAAGGCACACATGAAATAGCTTCACACTGAAGTACAGAACTGAAAGACAACTCCATCCATTCACTGACTGAAAGAATCCTAATAAAGAAAACTCTATCCTGAAGGACCACACTTCATTTCTGTATCAGGGACAGACGGTTGAAAGAGACAGAGTGGGAAAGAGGAAAAACAAGAAATGAAATATTAGGAGGAGACATGGAAAGAAAAATGTAACATAGAAAGATGATCCATTAAAAGAGAACAGGATAGGGCTGGGAAGTTGGCTCAGTGGTAGAGTGCTTGCCTCGCATGCATGAGGCCTGGTTCCATTCCTCAGCACCATATAAGCACAAAAAAGCCAGAAGTGGCGCTGTGGCTCAAGTGGTAGAGTGCTAGCCTTGAGCTGAAGAGCTGAGGGACAGCACCTAGGCTGAGTTCAGCCCCCATGCAGTTCTTAGGAAAGAAAGGACCAAGACCTACCCTGAGCTAGAGATACAGATCAGAGATTGGTATTTATGACAGATGAACAAGAGGAACAGGCTGGAAGACAAAGGAAAATGTGCATATTAATAAGACATACACAGATTGAAAGGCTTTCATGAATACCAATCCATTAGGCTGGCACCAACAAAAGGCATACTACATCTGAAGAAACATGGCACAAATAAGGAGGTAACTTGCATCTAAGGCTGAAGTTGTGGCCAAGATGTTAACTTCCTCTTAATTTCTCCTTCATTTTGCACTCATTATAAACATCTGAACAGTCCTGCACTGAAAGGCATGATGTGTATCTCCCTACTTGGTAAGGATTGTTTGGGAGTCATGGAAGACAGCACTGAGGTTAGGATCAAAGAAGCTGAGTTCAAGATCAGAGAACCTGAGTTCCTGTCCTGGCTCTACTACCCATAAACTGTGTGACATGGAGAGACCAAGTGAACTTCCACTATAAAATGGGGGGTTCCTCCACCTGTCCTCACAGAGTTGGAGGGAGTTTTAGGCAAAATAACATTTTCAAAAATACATGTTACACTATGTGCTGGGCACAGGCAAGAGATTATCATTATCTTGGGAACCTGCAACAGTTATTTGCTGTTAAGACTT